CACACAACGCTCACTGATTACTGAGACTACACTGATTACTACTCAACGATTACTGAGGGACCCAATTCAGCAGGAGTCCTAAGCACGTATGCTAATGAAATTATCCACCACAATGCAAAGTATACGACTACATTAACTTATAAAGCTGAACGAGTAGGTGATTGCGGATTTTTAGAATCATCTATCATATATTTTACTATATAATATCTCTTTCCGCTTAATCAATAGCATCTCTATTCTCCCTTATCAGCCCTCCCACACTACGCTACGCACTGCCGCTGTGACTAGTTGCCGACGAGATGTGTCGCTCTGAAGCGGTTGTGATTCCAACTTTGCGCAAGTCGAACTGATGGAAGGTTGCTTACAGCAGACGCGATCAAACGTTGTCAAAGAACATTATGTTCTTTACTGTCGTTGTATGACGAGGACAAAGTGTGTGGACCGTTACTGAGGAATTAAGACGGTATATGCCAAACATGACACTAACACGGTTGTCACCTTCAGAATTGAAATTAAGGGCATTTCAGAAAAAAAAATAATACAAATTATGACATTTTAAAGAACATTTTAAGGGAAATGATCAGAAACAATTTAAACCCGATAATTAGTTGTTATTATGTGGGCATGAGGTGCATTCATTATATTGTCATTATTAGTAGTAGCAATTTTCCTCAATTACAACGCAAATTTACATTTAAAGCATGTTAAATAAGACAAAATAACAAAAAAGGAAATTTATGCCTTCCAAGTACATTTGGAAATAGATCTCGCTGATTTTAAAAATTCGGAAACAGATTTGACAGTTGTGTGAATTTCTTTGCATCATACGTTCATTTTTACTAATGATACTGAACACTATTTGTAGTATCAGTCTATTTCAGGAGACTATAATACGAACAGCAATTATGAACTTCTACGTTGAACGATGTTAGAATAATATGATGACCTGTTCGTTAACAATGCACACGCACCCCCCTCCCCGCACAACTTGTATTTAGTGTGGTATGTCGACCAGACAGATATATTTGTAAATATACCAACTACATGGAAGTTAATCTAGAATTAGTAAATAAATGAACTTGCATCATATCCGCTGACTTATCAATTAATTTTCCCTATATCAACTAGAAGATCATCAGATGACGGAAGGTGAGGGAGGTGCACCTCATCCCTTATTCCTCTCAAAGAACTAACTTCATCTCTATTTAAAATACATATATCGCCGCACAAAAGAGAAAATTGCATTTTTTAAATTAAATTACATTAAAGAATATATTTAGAAAATAAACAAACTTTAAGAGTAAAAAATTCAAATATTCATTTGAGCGCCGGTAAAATGTACATCACTTTGTATTTAGCCTTTTAATAAAGGCCTCCGCTCAGGATAAAACTGTTATAACGCAACATTACAATTTCTAGAAATATAATTTTTCTTGTGCGATGACCTCGTGTGCGATGTTTCAGCTCAGGGATCCCACGACACCCCTGCTGAGTTTAGATACCTCCGACTATAGACACACCATCTCCTATAACCGCCCGCACCCCGGGGCGAGGAGGTACAAACGCAGCATAAAGAGCTTTTATTTCACGCCCCGCCGCCGTGTGGAAGCGCCCATCGTAACAGTGACTTCAACAGCGACATCAAAAGAAAAAACCACGGAGCAATTCTCCCCGAAGCGTGAGCAGGCGATAGACGACGCCTCTGTGCCCACGATACTTCTAGAATACTTTTAGGCCGCCAATGGCCGCAACGACGCCGCCGCCCCTGCATCGCGACCTTCCGTTCAAAACGCACCATTCTCTCCCATTTAGCACAAAAACCGTCGAAGTATAAGATTATATAATTATGTAAGTAGACCCTTCCACAAACGTCTCCCTGGTCCCCCAAGACTGATACCTTCCAGCAGCGCGGGCGCTCGCAGGCGCGCTGCGTCACTCACCGAACACAGTGGAGGTGCGCTTGGGGGTGGG